CGATGTCATAGAGGATACATTGATACGACTGGAGGAATTCCAATCGATTGTTGCAATGGTCAGATATGAATCTAAATAGAATACAAATGATTCAGTATTGATACTGAAACATTAAACATTTCTGTCTCTCAAAGGTGGAGAATAGCAGTGCTGAGTGTATGCAGCAACATCTTCCAAAGTTACAACAAATGAAGGATGGTATGGCAACTCTTCGCAATAGGGTAGATGCACTGGAGCACATTGTCGCAATGGCAAACATGAATTTAAGTACGTTAGAAGCTGCTGTAGACAAAGCAGAGGCTGATCTAGGTGTATCAGATAGATTATTCGGGATATTGAATCCTCTATCATTTTTTGTGAGTACAACATAGTCAAAGGATACACATTTTTAGCATATATATTAAACTATTAAATAATTAAATTATGCACTCTTTATATGATTATCATGTATGTAATGATTTCTTAAGCAACTTGAATTGAATTTTTCAGAAGAAAACTCAGGAACCAGTTGCGTCAAATGCAACGTCAGTATATAAATCGCCCATAATTTATAAATCTGATGACTACTTTCAAAGAGAATAAAAACCGTGTACATAAAAAGAGGCTTGGGTTATGAAGCACCTGTTATTAGATTAAGAAAAGTATTTATAAATTTATGTTAGATCAGTAATTAATATCTATACAAAAAAATAAAGTTCATTTTGTGTGGACATTAAATAAATCTATAATGGATTTTTATTTCATGTGTTATATTCTTACCAATTATTACACCGATCAACAACTGCTTGATTAGTAAGATTTTATATATATATTTCATTAGAAACATAATGGCAATAATTCACCTATGGCAATAAATAATTGTAGATATTTCTAGCTTGCAAAAATACTACAAAAAACATCATTTATCTCACTTGTAAATCTGCCAAAATTTTGAGTTTAAAATCTGCACCTTGTAAAAATATTTAAATAAAGCAAAAAAATATTCGCATTTAATTTTTCTGAAATAAAAACATTCGTTTTTATTGAAGAAATATGTATGAAAAATAAAAATGAAAGATATATAAACGACGAAGTCGAGAATTTTCTATTGCCATAGAAAGTTTCCATAGAACCATTTACTTAGAGAATGTTCTATAATTTTTAATTACATTGTGCATGAAAAATATTCTAACATGCTGCGGAAGTACAAGTTTTCAACTGAGCTTTCTTTTCCCCCAAGGAGCAACGTCCGCCTATGCAATGTCTCCATCTCATGATCTTTCCTATTCCACAAGTGACACTGCATGTTGACCAATTACCCCATTGGTCCCATATTTTTGGTTCTCTGTTGTTTTTTTCTGAAATAATATTATACCAGTTATTCCACTTGAATAAAAATTAAATTCTAATGAATGTAGAAAATCAAGATCAAGAATGACAAAATACTATGTCTTTTAGTATATCGGTATAATTACATAAATTGTAATTATATGAAGGAAAAATAAATTTTATAAAATGCAATTAAGATCTAAATTAATTTTAGAAGTTTACAGTAAGAAATATATTTAAAAAGAAACATTTCAATTATAGCTCAAATATGCTTGATAACTTTCACTCATGGTTTCTTTTGAAGGAAAGGAAATGCGTAGTTAAAAATTATAAAAAGTATTTCAAGTAAACGATTCTATGGAAACTTCCATCCATTGCTTAACTTTGTTACTTGTATACATTTATATTATTTTTTATTCGTACTTTACATGCACACTTATATACACAACTTGGATTAAGTTAGTTTCTAATAATATTAGAAATTAAGATTAATTACTCTATTTCCTTTAATATAAGTTATAATTATTACGTCAATAAAAATGACAAATTATTAATTGAAATATTGCTAAAGAATTCTCGATTAATTTTACAGGAGACATTAGATAATGCGAGCATTCCTGACCCTAGCAAACAATTTACGTTTAAAAAACATTTACCTGAAACGCTTTTTATTTATTTAAAAACGTTAAATAGACGTTTTTTATTATATGACATTAAATACACGTTTATTATTCGTCGAAATGTCTCGTCTAAAAAAGTATTTTAAACTAGTAAAAAAAACATTTAATAGTTATAGACGCGTGTACATTTATTTATTAAATAGTTTTAAAAACGTATCAAATTTTAAATGTTTATTTTTTGTTATATTTATTATAGGATTTCTTAACGTTTACTAAATGCATTTTGAACGTAATTGCGTTGATTGGGGATTTTGAAAAAAAATAGCCGAACAGCCGATGGAAATTTCTATCCATTACCTAAATTTTACGTTATTGTTATAAGTTTTAGTTGTTCTTCAGTTTGAGTTCTTCAGTCGAATTAAGTAATGAGGAGTAAAAATTTAGTTAGTTAATGCAACATAAATTTTTACAAATATATGTATTACGCGATGTTGCTCGTTGTTCATATCGCAAGAATTTCAAACAGTGGTGAATGTTGCAAGAAAGAAAAGATATTCCAGCCATGCAACTTGTGGAAATTTCCATCCTGCACACACTGCCCAAATGTTGTTCATGTATGTTTCAATGATCGGTATTGCGGGAAGGTAAATCTTGAACCGGTCTCGGAGAAAGCCATGATCACCGACCAGTGTGCGACCTGCGATTGCACACGATTCACACCTACTTTTTTTTATTTATTTATTGACCCTCATGCTTTATTTAGAGAAAAAAATCCACGTCTATATACAGGATGCATCTTAAATAATGCCTACTAATCATATAGTGCTATTCCAAAATATTGCGCATCCCCTCCCACGTTGATTCTTATTAGCCTTGAATTGGTTATTATTGTTATAATGCTATTCCTAATAAAAAACTGAAAAGTCCTCTACCATTTTGCAATTTTTTTTTTAGTTACCCAATAAGCAAAATATCTAAAATCAATGTATAAAGATATTTAAGATATCTTTCAAAGTTCTTTAAGAAACATCTTCAAAATATTTCACCAAGAACACTGAAAGATATCTTAAAATTATCTTATACATCGATTTTATTCGACAATCTTTAGAAATTAATGTCTCGTCAACTATTGCGAAAATCGGAAAATTGCAAAATGATAGAATACTTTTTGACTCAGTTTTTATGATTAGTGGGCATTATTTAAGATACACCCTGTATACTTACTCTGTAATCACACAAAAAGAAATAGAATTGCATAGTTTCATATAGTTGTGCAATATTTCACAAGTGCGCTAATTATTGATACAACTCCGAGATAAAATGCCGATAAAAAAATGTTGATCGAATGAATTATTGATGTTGCAATAAACGCTTTGCTAAAAATTCTGTGGATTATCCAAAAAAAAAGACGTAATGAAAAGACCTGTTTTTGCTGTCCGCTCAATGGGGGAAGTCAACTCGAACATGTTCGTGCAAGTGCTTGAAAACTTCGTTGCGTCTAATATATTTTTGTTATTAATATATTAATAAGCTCTTCTATATTTTTAATATTAAAACAAGATATTTGTCTCACGAATAATCCTATACAGCACTAAACTTCTAAAGCTGTTCATAGAACATTTTAAGAATGTACCAATATTCTTAGAACGTTCATATACGTTCTATTAATGTCATGTGCTATTTGGAATTATGACGCGAAGCGTTTCTTCGAATGAATTTAAATTATGTGTTCTATCGTATTGTAATTTTAACTAACACTATCGAATTCTTTGCTAAAAACTATAAAAAATGATGACGATTTAATAGACATTTTTATAACACTTTTTTCTTTTTGTAGTAAAAAAATTTTAATTAAAACAAATAATAATATACATGTTTCAGCAATAAATCTTCCTTGAAATTTCAAATTCTTAATTATATTAAACTTATTATATTTATATCTTTTAATTGTAAATAGTTGATTTTACATGCAATCACGTTTACCTCGTTTTATTAATGGCCGGATGTTGTCATCCTCTTCGCGATCATCGTCAATATCGCGAAACATATTATAAATTTTACGTTGGAGTCTATCTGATTTTATTTTGGATGTGTCAATATTACTTTCAACGATATTAGGTGCAATATTTGACGACGTTTTGTCAATTTCCGGAGTGACTTCTTTGAAGGCTAAAATTAAAAAGTTATTTCGCATATAGAAGAGTAATACACTGTCAAAATATAAATATTCTTCAACAGCATATTTACCCATAAAAAATAGGAACATGGCAAAATAAGCAAGGATCAATCTATTTCTATCCATTAATATATTTTATACATTGATTTATGCTTATGGAATGTAACGGAATTATTTTCTTCTTCTTTTCTTATTCGGCCTCGTCTGCTTCGCTGATGACGATACGGCATACGGAATTGTCGCAATGAAGTTTGTTCTATATCATTAAAACCATGATGTAATATAAGGCCTGTTCTTTTTGGTTGAACTTTTGCACCAGTTCATCTTTCTTCCTCTTCTCTCCTCCTGGAGAGAAAAGGAAGAAAGATGAACTGGTGTAAAAGTTCAGCCAAAAAGAATAGGCCTATAAAGACGGGTGTAACCATGATATAAATACATGTATTTATATCATGGGTGTAACATTCTCATGGATGCGCAGTAGAATAGAAGAGTAAATTTAGACCCAAATTTAATTGGCTGTTCCAGTATCCTCTATCATTATTATGCGCAATATTGCACTTACAAAAAAATGCATTTCTGCCCAAATTTGATTGATTATTTCCAGTTAAAACATCGATGATTAAAACTTACGTGAAACTATTAAATTCACATTGAATATAAAGTTTTGAACAAATAACAATCAATATTATATATACTATTGCTATAAAATAGCCATGAAAAGAAATATTTCTGTGAGCCATAATTTAAAACTCAATTTAATATTATCAAAATGTATTGCACACATTTTTAGAACGTAGTTCGTATATATTACATAGGTAAATTGTACTAATATACATATTTCATCTTTAAATCTATTTTTCAAATTCAAATTTTTGTCGTCACAGTGCAATCTTATAAAAATATTAAGGAATATGATCCATAGCTCAATCGAGCTTGCATTCTTGTATTCTTCTTGTTGTTAGATCAGAACAATTTTATTCCGGAAAAGAGTAATATCCGGAAATAAACTCTCTCCGTAATAGTTTACAAAGCAAGGATTTTTTTGTTTGTGCGTTCTCGAGATCGCTTAGTACTTTCCACATAATGATGTCAAGAAGACTTTGTCGATTGCTTTTGCAAGTCGGAAACGAATCATGATTTTATTCCGAGCCAGCCGAGGAAGCCTTTGGTCCCGCAATCTTTCAGATGGCAGCTTTTCAACTGCGCCTTCTTGAGACCTTTAGTGCAATCTGTGGACAAACAATGACGCCAACGAACCTGTCGTCCTTGCCCGCAAGATACACTGCACGCACTCCAAATACTCCAATTGTCCCAGGCCGCCCAATCTGCAGTGAGAGGCAAAGAAAAAACAGAATTTCACACTTCCAACTCATTCACTTCAATTTCATTTAAACACTGCTTAAAACAATAGCTAAGGGAAATTTGTTATGCAAATTTTATAAAATTATGAAATGTGCGAAACCGAGAATTTATTTTACAATGCATACATATAACACTTTCTATTTCTCTATGTTACATAATTAACATCTAGTTCTTCCTCATTACTTTATATTTATAAAATGCATTTTTTAAACATTTATACACGCGAATATTTTAAAATTAGTTCTTCGAATGGACTGTTCAATTTTAGAGAGACAATTTTATTCTGCAGTTTAACATTTTTTTCATTTTCTTATTTGCAATTATCATAATTTTCCCACTACAAAAGGTGGTTAATAAATTAATTAAATAGTCGTTCATTTTCATTATTTTGTTATACATTTGTTACATAACTGCAGAAAAAAATTGTCTCTAAAATTGAACAGTCCATTCGAAGAATTAATTTTAAAATATTCGCGTGTACAGTAATACATTTATTGCAATAGAAATATAATTTGACATAGCATATCTAATTTTTTACTGATATCTCTTAAATTACAATATCTTTTTTGCTATTTTATTATTAGAAAGGATATTGTAAAAGACATTAACAAAAAAGTAAATGTATCATGACAAATCATATTTCTAGTCCAATCATTATATTATTGTACAAGTGAATATTTAAAAAATCTCTAATTTCAAAAATTATTCAATTTTATAGAGATAAATTTTTTCTGTTCAATGGTTTTTATACAAAATTATTTTCCTTATCTTATCACCTATATTTTCATCATTCGAATAGGTATCTTTTGCAATGACGTCATGTTTCTTCTTCGTTAAACCTGATACTTTCATTTGGGTAATTTCATGAGGTATCCTTTTAGATCTGTTATATCTCATAGGGTGAATTCTGAAAAAGTCTCGCTCATAACCAAGCAACTTTCGCCGATAGATTATATCAGCGCTCGTTTGAAAGTACAGACGGAAATTTCTCTTTGTATTTTTCAAATAACGCTGCAATAATGAGGTCAGTGTTTTGTCTTATCTATCAATGTCTATGTAATACGTGCAATAAATATAAAATATTTATTTAATAAACACAATACGGGACTCTCAAAGTTGAAACACGTGTATAAGTTTTTGCTTCTTATTTTACATACCTTGGGTTTGTCCGTTGTGAATCGCTGAATGGAATGGTGACACAATTGCGAATAAATGTCTGAATAAAAACGTCTTTCATTGCTGAAATACGTCAAACTATTGAATAAACGAGTCAACAAGTATGCATATAGAAATAAAAACGTTTATCTTTCTTAACATCTATTATAAGAATAATGAAAAAATATATTCCTCGCCGCGGTATGTAATGATGTTGGCATCCTTATATTCATGAAGAAATAAAGAGATTAACAGATTTGTATTATAATAAATGTTTTGTAATGTATGTGTAACAAGTAACAATATAGGTAATATTCTTTGAATAACGTTTCAATAACAGCATTACTGTACCTTTTGGTTTCATCATTCGAATCTGTAATCGATTTAATATTATACTCATAATTCGATACGTTAGCAAATGCTCTGGCAGTGCAAGATTTCGGAAAATTTAATATTTCATAAATTACGCATCCGAAGTAAATATTGTACGTCAAAATTAGTTTAAGTAACATTTGCATATCATATTTTCGGTTTTCATTGCGCGGTTATGGACATGTATAAATATCGATAGAAAATGTGTCTAAATTCACAGTTAATACTTTTGACTTTATCGTTCATTATATGCAAAACACAAATAGAACCACTGAAAGCGTTCTAATGCAGTATAATATGTTATGTTTATGGCTTAGGCTATGTTTGGACGCCGTATCTGAAACGCGAGAGAGAATACCCAAATAGCACACAGCGCTTACAAAGCGCTAAAAAAGCGCATATAATCGTTTTTTTATGCAAGCGCTGCTGTGCTACTTGGATAGTTAAATATTCTTATCTGTCCTTTTTATCAATTAGGAAATATATTTTCCGTTTTTCAGAGTTGAATAATAAAATAAAAACCAGAAGGAACAAAGAACTATTCCTGTAAACATAATGAGAACTGTAGATTATAACATATATATTATATGTGTTATAAAATAACTACTATGTAGTTTGTTATATTTCTAATATACTATATTTTCTTTTTCTTTTCCTTTTATTTTAAAATATCCCTTAATTGTGAATGTTTCGTAATTATATACAATTTGTCGCTATTTAAAAAAAACAATGTATTCATATTTTTATATATAATTATATTCCTACAATTTATTTATATTTAGAGATTTGATAATTCAACTTTAAAGGTTTACGTAAAACGATATATTAATAATTAGGCAATAAACAAATTCAATGGCAGCAATTAGTATAAAACATTACATTAATTTCTATTTAAAAATGCGCTAGAAGATTATACATAATGATTTAATAAGTATCTTGACTGTGTATCAAAGTATAACTAAATCTTATCATCAAACTTTCCTATCATATAAGATGTATTACTATATGTTTCTATTAGTCTACTCTATGTGCTAATGATGATTCACAATCTAAAATTTATAATCATTATGTATAATAAAAGTGCTCCCAAAATTTAGCCCATTTTGTGACCCTCAATTTTCGAATTGAACTGTATTCTAAACAACGCTATATGATCCCAGTAAGCAAAATGTCGGCAGACTAGCAGCAGATTTTATTAGAAATGTCAAAAGACTGACATCAACTATAGGCACATTCTATTTCCGTTCTGTCGACAGAATCTGCTCACATAATTGGTAGCATACTATGTTCAAAATCAATCTTTACAGACTTGGCTATCTGGAATGGGACATTAATCTCAATAGAAAAAGATTAAATTGAGCATAGGAGTAGTTTTGGAGATACAGAAAGTCAAAATGGTCAAATTCCTAATATTTTCAACATTGTTCAAATACTATAGACATAAAAAGAAAGTTATCACGTACTCTTGATAATAGTGAGATTTTTATTATAATTAATCAGAATAATTTTTTGACTCCTCTATATCTCTGTTTGTTTAATTTTTTAAAGGAGTAAAACTACCTTCAGAAAAATTTTTGCGGAATTCCTCGAAAACAAATACAGAAAAAAAATGTTTAGCAGATCTTTTTGGTCCAGAATTTCAAGACAAACAACTTTTATTCTAAATATATTTTTGATAATTTAATTCGAAATTTGAGAGCCACAAAATACGTAGGTTAAGAAACTTGTGTTTTTGAGATCATTCTTTTTTGCGATATAAAAATATATGTATAACTAGGTTAAGTTTAATCTATTTGAAGATGAAAAATATGAAATATTAGTAAAATGTACATTTATCATATATTAATAAATTTTAACTAACTCTAATCGAAATAGATAATGCTTTAAATTATAAAGGTAGTTAGAATAATTTAAAAAGCCCAACTTTAATTTGGGCGAATTATATAATTTATATTTAGATTACGTTCTAACGTCGGTAGACTTCTGCAAGAGAAACAATAGACTAATATGTTACAAATATCGAACTAATTATAATCTGAAGAAAGCTTTGTGTGTCCGACCATTCGGTATTTGACCCTGTAACCTCAATCTGCGGACAGCCTCTCTCAAATGCTTTGGTTGTAATGGGCCAGTTTCATTTTGCGCCTCCATAACATCTAAAGCTGTACAACAAACGCAATAATCTAGAGTAAAAATTCTAATATTCTATTCTAATAATATTTACAAAAAAATAACTCCTACCTTCTTCAACAATTTCACCAACAAATACCTTAGCAATTCCTGACATAGCTATAACAACGTTTTGAGATACCGAACAACCTGTTATAGTTTGCATGATCTGAAATATTTAATAAAATACTTTCTTAAAAATAGAATTTCATTTTTTGCATGTAATGATTAAAACTAAGATACAGTACCCTCTTTATAGCTGCTTTTGGAAATGCGGATCGTCTGTACATTTCGTATCTATCCAGTTGATCTTCAGTAAAGTTAGATACTAGTACCCTAAAAATTTTTTTAATATTATCATATTTTTATATTCTCAAGATAATGTGTGTATAAACTTATAAGTTATAGCGAATTTGATTACTTGCATTACACTAGAATAATGCATAATAAAAACTGCTATACATAGCAAAATTAAATGTAAAAGCACACACACATGCATTTAAACATTTTAAATATCCAATAATAATATCATCTCCTTACTTCAGAAGTGACATAATTAAAAAAATTAAGTTTCTCAGAAAAGAGAGGAAATGTATTTTTCAATTTGACCAAAAATTATTAATTAATCAATATTGGTAAAGAGAATGTATTCCTAACATAATCAAGTGACATTTTTCTCATTTTTGTTTCATAATCTTTAAAGAATCATTCTTTTGACTTATGGCGATTTTTTTCAAACTACCCTTTTTGTGTCGTGATCATTAAACATCAGATACATACTGCATTTTTTCTCTCTCCTCCTCTTCTATCTCCTTTTTGCTCTTCTCCTTACTTTCCCGCCTTTCTTTTGTACTGATTGGATTAGCACGAGGTATCATAATGTCATTACTAAATATATCTTCAGCAGTTTGTTCTTCTACCTTCATATCAAGTTCTTGCTTCACAGTCTCTACTTGATTCTCTGTCACTGGGCAGGTAGAATTAGATCCTGTGTTTTCAATCTCTTCAACATCTGATTGTGATTGAGAACTCATTGCATCCGATTCTGCCTATATAATACAGATAATACAAATAATTTATTTAAAAGACAAGAGTTAACTTTTTGACAGTATTTATACCTTAACTTGTGTATTATCAATCTCCATAGCTTCATCTTTGGACCCTGAATTTTGAGTAAGACTAGTTTTGTTATCTTCATGCTCTTCCACAACTTTATGCTCACTCTCTTTTTCATCCCCAGAATCTTCCTTCCCAAAGATATTATCCATTTTTCTAATGAAAACGATATGTATAAGATATGTATAAAGTGTGTAACAGGAATTATTAATCTATTGTTATTAATTTATATATTTACAAATATGTCACGTAATATTAATAAAAAGAATTGTACAAGATTATAACATCTTATTTTATGTTTCATATGATAAGTTTATGCAGGATTTCAAACAATTAAAATAATAAAATATTATGTAACATCATTTAATTATCGAAATATTGTTTATCAATACCTATATGTATATAATATGTAAACATACCCAGATAGCAACGTGTTTGTCTTGTTGCTGGCATATTGCTTGCTAAGTATGCATTGCTAAGTGTTGCTACCAGAATTGCAGCAACTCGGTCCTGATTTGTTGACAACTTGATGCCTTCACGATATGATAACATTGAGTAGCAACTTGCCAGCAACTTGCCGACAACTTTAAAATCGTCATCATCAAAATTCGTACTATTGCCATCATGTTGCCATAATAATATGCAGCACTATACAATGCTGTCATATTGCCGACAACGCAAGATAACATTGATGTAGCTATCTTGCTGTTAAACTGCTGGCAATACACATTGTTGTCTGCATGTTACTACAATGTCGGTATATTCGAAATCGTTGAAGACGAATCTATGGCAAGTTGTCAGCATCATAAACAATCACAGATTTGCGAGATTTTGCTGAGACACGCTTTGCTATCTGGATATACTTTCCTTACTTCAAAAGTGACACAATTAAAAAAGTTAAACTTTTCAGAAAAGAGGAAAATTATTTTTCAACTTGACAGAAAGTTATTGCCTGATCAAATAATATCGGCAAAAGGAATATGTATATTCTTAACATAATCAAATGTCATTTTTATTATTCACAACCCTAAAAAAAATCGTCTTTAAATTTTTGAATTATCCCTTCAACGTTTTGACTTTTTTATGAAGTTCACTTTTGATAACTGATGGAGATAAAGCAATATTTACGTAATTCTTCATGGTAATAACTAAAAAAATCACGTTTGTCAGTTATATGTCACTTTTGAAGTAAGGGATATATATTATATATTTACATAATATATGTATACATATATTAATAAACAATATTTCGCTAATTAACGATGTCACATGACATTTTAATTCTTTTAAACCTCAATAAACTAAATAAAATAGAAACCATAAAATAGAAACATTACAATCTTGTATGATTCTTTTTATTTAATATTAGACATTATGTCATAATAAGCATAAGAATCGTTTGGTGACTTATTTAAACGTTTTATAAATTATAAAGTAAATAAAAAAAAAGTGGGGAAATAAATTACTCCACATGCTGATCTCTTTAGATTCGTAAATATACTTACAACAAATATTTTATTGCAAAACATTAATTTATATTATTCAAATGATAAAACGATTCGCCACCAATATCAATCAAGAAATGATATCTTTTAACGAAGAAATGTTGCCCGAAATGGTAAACATCATACACAAAAACAGAATTAACAGAAGATTTGGAAGAATACAAATTCAGTGGAACAAATTGGAGTACAGGCACAGTGTACAACTGTATGTACATACACTATCTAACAATCTAACGCGAAACTCAGATTAGTTAAGGTTAATATTAAGGGGAGCTTTCCAACAAGCGACACTATGCGACACAGCGATCATCTCATCCTTGTTTAACATTGGAGAACAATAAAGCGGGGAGCACAGACTCTTGCATAACGCATAACACGTAATGCATAAGAAAATGTACCAATCAAAGCCCTCCGTTTCCTTCCTTTCCTTGAAATAAAGAATTCTGATTGATTGAATTTC